ATTTTTTAAGAGTTACATACTAAGTTAGATTCTAAAACTGAGCTTTAAACTATCTACCTCAAAAACAGCATCACTTGCCCTAAATAAAAAGTCATCCCTAAAAATAAATACCATGCAAAGAAAACAGGTAAATTCTGGATAAAACCACTGCATGCAAAGACTTTGGATTTAAGGTCCGTGGTTTTTGTTTTTTGATTGTTGTCATCAAACCGGAAGATCAGTGTTGGAGGAGCACGGAAGACATGCTGCTAGTGCCCAACTGGGATTTTTCTCCCTGTTACCAGGGTGGAAAGAATTGCACATGAAGCCGCTTCCACACCTGTGTGATTCTTTGATGCCCTGTCTTTGACCGTTCGCATAAAAGCCCACATTCTGAGCACTGATGAGCACAGAGCAGATAGGGAGACTGGAACGGAGACCCACGTGCAAGGCCCTAAATTTGTTTCATTGAACTACTCATTTTTCTATCCATCAATGCTCCCTTCCTCATTTCCCTATTCACTCTCAAGAGAGTCTACCGTAGTTTGCACTTAGAAATAGCTTACTGGTATCATCACTTATTTTCCAGACTTTGATTAAATCAACAAAACGGTTTGGACCCAAACCAACAGCTCCGCTTTGCAACTGCAGGCACGGGGAAGACAGTCTTGCCCTCGCTGACACTCCTCATCTTTTCTCCCCTGAGCTCCCTCCCCCCCCCCTTTTTTTTGTTTTGCTTTGTTTTTGTTTTTGTTTTGAATCGCAGCGAATCTAACACGCAGCTTATTGATTTCCGACAGATGTAAAGATGGGAGGAGGGCGGCTTGGGTGTCTGCACCCGGAGCTCCTCCAAGGGCGCCGGCGCCGGGCAGGCCAGGAGCGGGCGCCCACCCGCGGGGCCACTAGGCGGCGCGCACAGTTTTCGATTCCGAAAGAAAAGTGCGTATTTGGGCGCTTGGGATGGTGCCTCCCTCCACACTGTCGTTCAGCCCCAGGCTCCCCCACCCCCGAAGCGCCCTCGGCCCTGCACTGACCCGTTCTTTGCCGTGACCCAGAGCTCTTCTGCTCCCCAAACCACAGCAGTTGCACTTCTGACCGTTTTCAGCATTGGTCCTTCTAACATTTTAGAAGAAATAAGGTCCAAGTGTGATGTTGCAAAGGAAGCACTGATATATTTAGTGAGAAGACCTCTTCTCCCTCTTGCTGGTATCCCTAGCTGTGGGGAAAATGCTCCTTTACGGATTTCAAGCAGCTCCTGTGAGCGGGAGATCTTTCTGAGGAATGACAGAGCTCCTTCCCAGTAGATCTCTCCCAGCTGACATGGGTGCCCTTGTGGGCCGCATGTTGTATTTTTGAGGTCTCTGGCTTTTTTTTTTTTTTTTTCTTTTTTCTCTGACTTTTACATTCTGAATCGACAAGCCCTGGATGTCAAACACTGCAGAACACACTCCCAGACCGACTGTCCCTACAGATCACCATCCAAGATGTACATCCCGGACTTGCCTGAGTTCCTTGCCTGGTGGGTGGCCCTAGCTCCTTAGATCTCACCCTTTATCTGATCCCAAAGTCTCCTTCCCACTAAATATCCACTCTGAGCTCTTCTTGACAGTCAGCTAAGACGTTCATGAGCCACATGGTAAGCAAGGCCCCTTGTATGTGGATATAGGATTGCCTCCTGGGTGAGCTCCCCTGTGGTGGGCAGGCCAAGCGCTGGGAACGCGGCTGGAGCACAAAGACAAGACTGGGCCTTGCCCACCCAGTTCTGAGTCTCAATCAGCCTGTTCTCTAAGGAGATGAACAACCTTCTTTTTTTTTAATTTTTTTTTTTTTTTTAAGAAAGGTGTCAGAAGTCTTCTGAGGCAGCAGCTTTATGCAAATACGCTACTCAAGAAGACCGCTTTAGGGGAGAGTTATTTATATCACACAGGCATTACACACGCAAAAGGTGAAACTGTGAATCTCTGAGTTTCCAGGAGTGGATGTTCTCATGATGAGCGCATCCTTGCAGTTAGCTATTTTGGTGGCACATGCTTCCCATACCCAACCATTAGATTGTTCCAGGCAGGAGACGACATAATCATTTAGTAATTTTATTTTTTTTTAAGATTTTATTTTATTTTTCATGAGAGGCACAGAGAGAGAGAGAGAGGCAGAGGGAGAAGCAGGCTCCATGCAGGGAGCCCGTCGTGGACTCGATCCTGGAACTCCAGGATCACTCCCTGGGCTAAAGGCGGTGCTAAACTGCTGGGCCACCGGGGCTGCCCTCATTTAGTAATTTTAGACTGACTCTGCAGGTTCCTCATTCCCTGAGACTACTGACCCGGACTTTTCCTGGGCTTAGATTTATTACCACCCTGGTCTGTCTAGTAACAGATACATCTCCTTTCTTTTTCTCCTAAACAGGTACAGCCCTCAGTTATCAAAAGGTAATCATGTGGCACATTTATTGCCCCTTTCCCTTTCAGACTGACTCCTGGAATTAGCCAAGAAAATGGCCATTTCTCTAGGAATTATTGCCCTGCTCTGTCGCTGGCTTGCCCTACCCAGAAATACAGACCGTTTTCCCTATTGGAGTCGACAATAATCGCTTCAGGAAATTGCTTTCCCTATTGGAAACTGAGAGCTCACATCGGAATGTTGCCACAGCACAGCTGATGATAATTACGACTCCCTGAAATTTCAGTTTTCTTTGATTGTGACATAAAAACTGGGACATAAATTAAAGCCCAATTATCCTTTAAGGGTAATTGGGGTTATAAAGCCAAGAGGCTGGGAGTCGGCATGTCGATATGGCAGGAGTGCAGTGTCTGATGGTACAGTGTGTGCTCTGTATCCCAAAGAGCTTTTCACACAGGATGGTTGGGGAACAGGCAATCCGTGCACACTGCATCCCAGGGGCAGACGTCAGATCAGGCCACGGCCTTACAGAAATGCAGTAAGCTTCGAGGATATCTTGGCAAGATTAAAATCCGTTAAGATGGCAGGAGAACATCCTGGCCTTCACCTGTGACGGTGCCCAGCGGTGGAGTAGGGCCCTTCGTGCCAAGACTCTAGCCAACCCCGGACCGCACGCTCGGAAAATGCAGTTCTCGCTACCTGGGAAATAGAAATAGGTCTTTGGATTAACGCAATCCACATCCTCAAAGTCCATGAAAGCATGGACTTTGTTTTTCACAAAGGGCATAATCCACAGAGGTGGCAGAGAAGATGCTTGGTGTATCAAGTCATATAGTAACTGCAGGAAGGGGAGCTCATTAAAGGAAGGTTTGAATTGCTCTTTAGGGGCAAGAATTGCCCACCTACCTGGAGCTGCCTCCCAGGCCACCTCTTGACAATGCGTACTTGTGTACTCTACAGGTCAAATCACATCTCCCAAAACTTCCCAGCCTCATGCCCTACATGTTCTTGTGACATATCCCTCATTTTGGATTTTCAAAAGAGTTTCACTTCCCTGTCTTTCTGGAGAGTCTCTTATTCCCTTTCATTGTGCACTGTTTGTGTTTTTAAAAGAGTCCATACCCACCACATGACAGGGACATTGTCCTCTCTGGCTCTGCCACTCAGCTGAAAGCCCTTGCAGGGCCTTGACTGTGGTGCATGTTGTTGGGCACATAGTAGACATTTACTCAATGCAACTGAATGAAATGCACCATCGAAACAGCAGAACTCCAGATTTCTAATCCTTCTTTTTGGAAGGTAAACATTGCACAAGTTATTAACTACTACAGAGAAGACGCAAGCAAATGCAGCTCCCTTTCAAAACCAACCAGGTTTTCCTTTGAAGGCACTTAACTCTGCACTCAGTTTTCTGGCCACAGGACAACATGAAGGTCCAGACTAAGGTATCCAGCAGGCCTCTGTTTTTAATTGTTGCATCAGTCTCATCGAGTCCCCTGAGAATCATGAGAGAGAAATGCAAAGTCCAGGTTATTTCCACCCGCCCTGGGAAACCAAGCTTGGATAGACATCTAGGGAAAGTGTTATGTCTGATCTGGGCTTTTGCAACCTCATTTCATAATCCACTTTCTTATCTACTATCTCACAAAACCGAAGAGCAATTGGTACAAACCGTATTGACAAAGGATCAGAACTTGATTCTCAATGGCAAAGGCAAGTATACATTATAAATAGCAAAACAGCTGGCTTGGACCATGTTGCCGGCCACTCATCCAGTTGAGGGATTTGAATGACATCATAACCCTTGAGAGGCTATTGCTAGCCAGCTGGTGTTATTTAGAATACACAAAAATTGGAGAAAGAAAACACACACACACACACACACACACACACACATGTTCAAGCTATGCAGAAAAACATGAACAATGGAAAAATAGTTTGCCCCTCAGGTGCCCTTCCCCCGGGGCAGGGGGTGGGGGCGGGTGATAGGAAGCCTAGGAGAGAAAGGAAAGAAAAAAAAATTATTTTTTCAGTTGGCTTTACAGTTCAGCAAAGTCTTTGCCCTGTCGCGGGCAAAAAACCATGAGACAGTCCTAAAGGGAGCCAATTGCAACGCTGCCTGCCCCTTTCCTAGGTTCTAGGAAATGAGATCATTCTCCTTGCTTGGCAAGTAGGACAAGGGGTCACCCCGGTGCTGTCTTTCAACCTACTTCACCCCGGTCATTTCAGAGTTAAACCTGTAGGGTTTGCTTGAGATGGGTTTTTTCTTCATTTCTCTTTTTTTTTTTAATTTTGCATTTGCTCTAGAATATGAAAACGCTCACCCATCCTCCACTGTGTGTTCCTTTAATACTGGTAAGGTGTATTAGCAGATGTGTGTTTCTCCGTGCCCAGGAGAAAGTTAATCAGAGGACGGATCCTTATTTTCTATGGCAGCATCCGTATATTAATGTCTGCGAACCCTGTCACTAACACACATTCTTTTAAGGGAAAAAAAATGCTTCTGTGCTCTAGTTTTAAAATGCAAAGGTATGATGTTATTTGTCACCATGCCCAAAAAAGTCCTTACTCGATAACTTTGCCAGAAGAGGGAGAGAGAGAGAAGGCAAATGTTCCCCCAGCTGTTTCCTGTCTACAGTGTCTGTGTTTTGTAGATAAATGTGAGGATTTTCTCTAAATCCCTCTTCTGTTTGCTAAATCTCACTGTCACTGCTAAATTCAGAGCAGATAGAGCCTGCGCAATGGAATAAAGTCCTCAAAATTGAAATGTGACATTGCTCTCAACATCTCCCATCTCTCTGGATTTCTTTTTGCCTCATTATTCCTGCTAACCAATTCATTTCCAGACTTTGCACTTCAGAAGCAATGGGAAAAATCAGCAGTCTTCCAACCCAATTATTTAAGTGCTGCTTTTGTGATTTCTTGAAGGTAAATATTTCTTACTCTTTGAAGTCATTGGGGGAATTTTCTTTAAATTGTGTACTGTTTGCTTCTGCCTAGAAATGTTATTCACTTTAGAATTTTCATTGTTTCGGAACTGGGAGTTATTTATAAATTGCTGAATATGCAATTCTGTGGGATCTGAAAAATTAGCTCCGGGAGAGGGGTGCCTTTGCACAGATATCTGTATGAGTAGAAACTATTGCAAGGTACTTATGCTAAATCCTCCACTTCTGCAGGGCTTCAGTGGTATCATTATAGAAGATTCCTTTAAATCCTATCGATGGTTAAGGGCTATAGAGCGTGGATATGAACTTTCAAAATTTTTTTTTGCAGGTGCAGATGTTTTATTTTTAAGACCATGTTTGTGTGTGTGTGTCTGTGTCTGTGCGTGCATGTGTGTGTGTGTGTGTGTGTGTAACTTGTCAGGACTTTTTATTATAAGGCAAGCCACATATGAAGAGTTACCTTTGAGATGATATTAAAGCTTTTAAATATGATCTCTGGAGCTAAGGTCCCAGAACTCTCTGCACTTATGCTCAGGGAGTCAAAGTTAGAGCGAAGTTTAATTTGTTCTTCTGAAAAAGAGCTTGACAACTCTTGCTGTCCCTGCAAGATATTCGGATAATTTAACAAATGCATGCTGTATATACGGAAAGCGGAAACTTTCTAGCAACTGCATGTCCAATTTTTTTCCTCTGAAGAGGGCTTTCGTGGGCGAAGTTTGGACTTGGGGTTTCATGTTGTAAAACTCTGATTTTATACTCGGTGCTGTGAAGTCTCTTTAGGTAAATTTGGCTGCTGCCGTTCATGCCAACTTCTCGTTTCCAATCACTGGCCCTAGTTCAAGTTTCCATTCTCAGCAAAATTATATCCTTCAAGACTTGTGTTTTTCCAATTTGCAAGCATTTTTAAGCCGCTGTCACTGGCTCCTCGATGCAATTGCCTAAGAGCTCGATTCATAAAACCTCCCTGCCACTCAGTACAGGATTCATTCGCTGCTTTCAAATACTCCACCACTAGGACTTTCTTAGTCAAATAAGTGGCTTAGGAGTTAAGAATACATGTTTGTCAGGCACCTGATTCTGCTGCCCTCCAGGTGCTGGCTGCCTTGCTTTTACAAGCAGCGAAGTCCATATATAAACACATATGACCTATACCGTGTCTGTAATATACTATGTGGTCCGGCAGCTAAGGTTTTTGTCTCCCTACTTAGACGACCATAAAAGGGGTTGTTGAGTGTCATCTCTGCATTAACTACAAGTTTGGAAAAATGCCTCTGAATGAACTTTTCGTGCTGTGTGTGTTGAACTTTTCAAAAGTAGAGCTAGCAATGCCGTTACTTCTCCCCACCCCCCCACCCCCAGTACCTGGAGATAGAAGTGGCTGGAGGGAGCCGTGGGTTCCTCCAGATGTAATTCAGTAAGTAAAGGTGTCCTGCCTAGAGGCGGAACGCGCAAGCTGATTGTACTGAGTCTCGAGATGTTTGGGAGTGTTCGAGTCTGGGGAAGGGTGTAAAGACAGAGGACTGGAGGGAGCCTCATTAGGGTCACTGTCCCAGGCGGCTACCGGCTACTGTAGGCACACAATGGAAACTGGTGCCGTGATTGGGGGGATCGGGGGTTGGGGGGGGAGATGGACTCAAATCCCAGCTGTGCAATTTGTTCATTGTTTGAATGGACAAAAGGCAATTTACTCAGGCTAATGGCATACCTGCCTGGGTGTCCAAATGTAACTAGATGCTTTCACAAACCCCACCCACAAGGCAGCACATGTTTTTAAGTCCTCAGTTTTCTATTCACATCAGCCTCATAATACCCACCCTGACCTGCTGTAAAAGATCTGGAACAAACAAAAAATGGTTACACCTACAGTGAGTATTTTCTTATGACTATTGCCCTCAAATTTTGCTGGGCATTTTCATTGTAGCCCAGACATCTGGAATCAATTGATATTCCATTTATTTAAGATAAAAAAAAAGAAAGGTCTTTTAAATTGTGAATTTGTGAATGATTTCTGAGAGGGATTGTTCTGAATTCTTTTTTCTTTTCTCTCTCTCTCTCTTCTCTTTCTGGTTCTTCCTTCCTTTCTATCTTTCCTTTCTTTCTCTTTGTTTCTTTTGTGTTTGGCAAAATAAAAGACCAAGAAGAAGATGGACATATGGGGCCACTTGTTTCAAACTTTTAACCCCTAAGCAAGTTTGTTATTGTCTTCTTTTGGGGAACATAATGCGACAGAATTCTCTGGTTCTTTGTGGGTGTACCGGACTAAAGGGAAATGCAGTGGAGGTTCTCTCTCATCCTAGAACTGTAAGTGCTGATATTTATCTAAAAACAGAACTCAGAAAAAAAAAAGGAAAGGAAAGGAAAAAGAAAAAAAAGCCATAAAAAATAAATCTTATATTCTGAAATGCTAGGGATCTATATGTATTGTTGAACTTACAGGTGTTATGCCAGAAATAGCTATTTAAAAAATATATAGTTTTGACATCTCATGAAGTTCTCCATTCACTAATCCACTTTTCCACTGGATTTCACGAGAACCGTAGAACTTCAAGCCATCTCCAGGTGCAGGTGCTTGGTCTTCAGCATCGCTGTGAACTCAAAAAGAAGGGAGGGACAGAGAAATAAAGTTGGTAGGGTAGCCTGCACTCTAGAACAGGCCGATTGCCAGAGTGTGGGATATGTTCTATAAGATCAGTTCGGAGTTTGCTCTTCCTAAAAAGGCATTGAGGTCCAGACAGGTTGAAACCATTGAGATTTCCACTGAGAATATTGAAGGGGGAAAAAACTCCACCAATTATTTGATAACTAAGAAAAATACAGGTTGGATGAGACCCTGTCTCCAGCAATCCTGGTGGCTTTGGCTATGTGGGAGTGCAGGGTCTCCAGGCAGAGCTCCTCCCGAGAACATGGAAGAGGTGTCCAGTTGAGCTTTCACCTCCTCTTCTACTTTATGTCCATTATTTATGATGATTTGCAAATAGAAGGCACTTTTCATCTTAAAATGTTTTACAAGCATTAACTAAACATTTACGTTGTGTTAACAAGAATCAGGAGTTTTAAGGTTGTTGTTCCCCCCCCCCCCAATGTGTGAGCTGAAGATCTGGCCACAGACATAGAAATCTTAATTAAAACGATGGAGCAAACTCTGCCACAGAGGTAAAGAGCCATTAAGTTGAGAGTTCATGGAGGGCAAGGAAAGCAAATGACTGAGTCTGTTTCTCCAAAAGAGATGGGGGCTGGACGGGCTGGCCATGACCCAAGAACTGGGGAAGCCTCTCCTTACAGTGCCCGCTTCCAGTGTAACTCCAAGGCCCTTTGGATAGAGCCCCTCACTTGCATCTTGCTGGTGACTCTTCCAAGGCCATTGCACCCACTCGCCTTGGGAGACTTCCTAGAAGAAACCCCGTCTTTGTGCCATAAGTAGCGATGTGGGAGAGTCAGTGATCACCTTGGCATTGTTTCTACTACTTTGAGAGAGGATGGGGCCCTGAGCCACAGAAATCTAGCTTTCAGTCAGGCAGCCCTGTGGCTATCAGTCATCAGCTAAGTAAGCCAACCGGGGGCTCTCAGAGTATTCTGCTATAAAATAGGTACAGTGACACGTAAGTCCCTCCAAGACATGAAATCAGAATTCCTGTGACCAAAAAAAAAAAAAAAAAAATTCTTTTGCAAGTTTTGAGTCCAATGCCCTGTTCACGGAGGGCAATCTCTCCACATATGTGGGTTTGATATTGCATTTGACTCAAAGGGCTTTTGTGTAGAAAAGGTGTAGTGCCTACTTAGCTCGAGCCAATTTCATGCCTAAATCTTACTTTTCCTGTTTCTATTTTTTTCTCACCTCCACTTGTGGTTGTGTTGACTGCTGATATTCCCCAGGTAAGACGTTTCTCTGTCTCTCTGTCTTTCTCTGTGTCTCTGTTTCTCTGTTTCTCTCTCTCATCAGGTGAAAAGCAAAAATCAAATCAAAACAAAACAAAACAAAAAAACCCTGTAACGACATATAGTATTTTCACAAATCCTTTCTTAGCCACAGTAAATTATCTTCAATCAGCAGCCAGGGAACGACGTTCTGGTTAACTTAATATTCTGGTCATATCGAACACAAATGCCATCTGTGGGTGGCCAGTCTTTAGAGAATTTAAATTAATAAAACGTATTCGGCCCCCAATCTGGACTGAGCGCAGTTTAACCTGTGATAAGTTCAAAAGGTTTACCAAGATCTCTGAGTGGGGTGGGATTCCATGGCAATAATGGCATCTTTCATTTGCAGAGTAAATGTTTAGGATCTCTCATTGAATTGCAATGGGACTGTGCAAAGAAGGGGCTCAGGGGAGTCCTCAGTGCTAATGTCATCGGGTGCCAGGGTGCGTTTGGTCCACACCACCCGCAGCCTACGGTCTGCACCCCTGTGCTGGGTGGCTCTGACCCTGGCAGGGATGGGAGGCTGAGGGGAGGTGCCCCACGGCCTCGTGAGGACCAAGGAGGGAAGGTGACCATCCCTTGTGGTTTGTTGGCAGGTGAAGATGCACACCGTGTCCTCCTCGCACCTCTTCTACCTGGCACTGTGCTTGCTCACCTTCCCCAGCCCCGCCACAGCCGGGCCTGAGACGCTCTGCGGGGCTGAGCTGGTGGACGCTCTTCAGTTCGTGTGCGGAGACAGGGGGTTCTACTTCAGTAAGTACAAGCACACACACACCCCCCACTGCCACTTGGTGGCTTCCTAACTACAGAGAGAGTGTGAATGGCTGAGTGACAGCCTTCAGCTGGAGGCCATCCGGCCACTGAGACTCCTCACCTTATGGAAGGTGAGGCAGGAGGAGGAGCTGAGGCAGGTCCTGCAGATTTAGGATGGAATTTTCTTCCCGGCAGGTGGTCCTTAAGTACTTCCTGCTGGGCTTTCCTGAAATCACTGTGCTCTGCCCTCACTATTCCTTCCCCTTCAGTGAGAGGAAGGAACAAAATGACCTGGGGGGGATCAGGTTTTGGTGTCTGAGACCCCGGGGTGCACATCTAAACACAAGGCAGAAATGCATAGGCCTGTTTTAAGTGCTCTGGTAAGTTGGAGTAAAATAGTGAGGTGGACTCAGAAAAAGGAGTAAGAGAGCACAGACCATATGTATCCACGCACTGTGACATCACCAGGGACAGAAGGTGAACTTTGCTCAAAGGCACATTGGCAAAAACACGGGCACTCTCTAAAATGCAAACGGAAATGCCATATTAATGTGTCCTCTATGCAAATCGACCTTGACTTTTTGTGATTGCCTTCCTGTGATTTAGCATTACTCCAGGGCTCTCTGGTGATAACTCCATCTGGAAAAGGGTTTCTGACAAGTATGGGGTTACTTATCCCATAAGTAGGTCTCAGGTGATTAAAAACTTGACAGCCAATAAAAAATGGGCGGCCAAGTCAATGTTTGCAAATAACAAACACAAACATAAATCAACACATTGCCTGGGAGAACTGAGCACCTGCAGAATCTACCTTGGAGGCGTCCATCTCATTGTATATTAGAGGGCAGTGAAAGATTTAAAGCCAGTTGTTCAGTCTATTAATTATTTGGAATTTTAGAAAGTTCCAGGAAACTGATGTTCAGGTCCTCAGTGAGCATGAATCATTCTTAGAGGTTCATTACCACTCGAGTGTAGACAGCTTACCTCAGTTGCCCACTCAGCTTTGAATAGCTCCTCTGATGACTCACACACTTCAAGTCTCTCTCATCTTCTTCCCAGGGAAGGTGGTGTGTGCCCATGTGCGTGTGTGTGTGTGTGTGTGTGTGTGTGTGTGTGTGAGAGAGAGAGAGAGAGAGAGAGAGAATGAGAGAGAGAGAGAGAGAGACTAGGGAGAGGGGCCTGAATACAGCAGTCTGGGATGAGCCTGGGAGATAGGAAGGGAGAGGCTGATGGAGGACTGGTGATTTGTACTTACTATAGAGTTGGCAACAAATAGTCTTTAAACAACTAGTGACAGAGAATGAGAAGTGCTTTTTATTACTTGCATGGGCAAACGCCCCCTCTCTGTTTCCAGCTAATGGTTTAAAAGAGTGAATTCACTTATTTTTCTGTCATTAAAGCAATTCTATCCAGTTCTCTGTTATAGAGCAGATGAATAAGTTCATTGGGTGGGTACTTTTCAAATAGCAGGCTCTTTTTTTTTTTTTTTTTTTTTTTTAACCTTTGAAATATACAGTGAAAGGCAAATGTTTTACATCAACATCACCCAATGGTGGGTTGCCATTATTCTTTACATTGCTGCTACTGATTCACATATTTAAAAAAATGAATAATTCTCACCTATTATTCCAAAGAGGACTTTTTTGCCTTGGTAATCTATTTGTGCAATTTCCTCTGAGCCAAGGATCAAGGTAATAGCAAGCCCACAATTTTCTTCTGCTATGTGCCAGGATCAATTGTCTTGTTTAACTTGACATATTCCAAAATTTCCATGCACAGTGCAAGGAAACTGGATTATTTGATGCTGCAATGTTTGCATTAGATGATGAAAAATGGGAATGGAAATAATCATTTGGTCCCAAGTAACCGTATAATATTGATACATGTGCACTCAGATAGTATTGGACATGTATGATGGAAACCAATTTCAAGACACCAAAAAGGTGTTTTTACTGTTACTACAATGATCAAATTTTAGGAAATGTTTTTAAATTCCATTATAACTTGAAACTGAAAGGTTATATATAGCAACTCTTGGTGTTTAGAGTATGACTTTGGATAGAAAGTGGTTTCATGAATTGTGATTATTGTCAGTATTATCATTGAGAACATGTTTCATAAATTCTGCCTTATACCATTCCATGACTTATCTGACATAGAGCCTCATGAATGAAAGTATTCTTGTTACCTTTCTAGTTAACCAGACAATCCTTTTTGCCCAAGAGAAGTTATCCCCTTTACATTCTTTAATCCAAAACATCAGTGGATCATATGCTTATATGTCAGAGTGAGTATATGTCCAGGAACTCATAGTCTAGTTAGGGGGTTAAAAAACACACATAAGTATTATCAAGTGTCATAATCATAGGAGAATAGATATAATCCTTTATGCTTTTCCTGAATATTTTGTCCCATTTGAAATCACCTAGCCAGGATCTACCCTCTCGATGGGCTCCTTGATGCCAAAGACTAGATTTATTTACCATTGAATCCCAGTATCTAGCTCAATGCCTGGCTGATATAGTACAGTCTCATATTTGATCACTGAACTGACAAGCTTAAATTGAATTGAATCCACTTGAATCCAATTGAATGGAATGAAATTACTTATTTGGGATCTTAGTCTTCAGAACCATAAAGAATTAGATTTGTCAAGTTCTTTGGGTAATTCGTATCTCCTGTTTACTCAACTATTGGATAAAACTGCTTTCCTTTTATTCAACTGAATACAGCATATACTAACAATGACTTAGAAGCTGCAGTTTGGTTGTCCCCAAGCCTCACTGATGGTCTGTTTTGTGTCTGAGCCAATTATTCTAACAGGCATTAACTGTTGTCAACCAATTTTATTGAGTTTCCTTTTTGTCCCCTGAGATTTAGTGTGTGTGGAGAAATCAGCTCTAAGCATTTATAGTCTTTGAGATACTTTTTAGAGGAAAGCGGTCTTCCTCACTTCTACTGTCTGTCAGTTGACTCTTTTCATTGTTTTTACCCTTATTTTCAACGTTTTATTGTTTTATTCTAAACTGCTTCAAATCCATTTTGAAAGTATAGTTTTGTTGTTGTTTTCTTTTTTATAATAGTGGAAAACAGTTTCTGATCTACATTTGAAATTTGAACATCTGAAAGAAAATTGGCTCCGTATTTATCTTTTTCAGGGGTCAGAATGTTTAACAAGGGGAGTTTTCTTAACCTATTAGAAACAGAACAGTTCTGACTTTGAAAAAAAAATTAATGTTTACTTTGTATGGACTGACTCAGTGTGTGGATGAGCTCCTATTTCTCTGCAAGCACAAGCTCCACTACAACACAGTGGAAGCAACCTTCTAGATTATCTGTTTTGTGAACAATTTTTCTAACATAAGTGGAACAGTTCCTCTATAATTAATGCAGCTTCCCCAGACATTTTATGAAATGAAAGTTCCAATGAAGAGCTAATTACTAATTCTTCCCTATGCATCATAGTAAGAGAAGGTATCAGCCAGTCTTGTGCTCTCACAGTCCTGTGCGAAAAATGGTGGCGTAATGAAGTGGCGCATCGGGAAAGAGCTAGATATTATCTCGTCAGATTGATGGAGCCCTCATAGAGGAGGGCTTATTATAACCTCATTTTGCATGAAACATAGCAAGAGGAAACAAGCTTCAAGTAAAAATGAAGATGTTAAGCTCGCCATAGATATAATTTCTTGACAGTCATGATGATTAACCATTTTAACATGTACTTTAGGGGCTTGTGGAATTTCTCTCTTTGGAGATACTTAAAAAAATTGACAGACAACTAACCATCTTGGATGGTTTTAATTAAGAGCAACCAAAAGAAAGCAAGTTTCTGGGGTCCTTTTTAGTTTAAAGAGTCTATAAACAGTCCCTTAAATAAATCGTATATGCTTTACCTCTGGGTAAAGGAGAAAGGTCTGGGAAAAAGGAGAAGTAAATCAATTAGAAAAGAAAGTTAGATCCCCTTTCAGCTATTCTAGATTTATAGCTTATGTAAAACATACTTTATTAAGAACAGTCTGAATAAACTAAGGACATTCTTATGTGTTAAAACATACTGCTTTATGGAGTTTAAGTGAAACTTTGCATTGAATTTCATTGTTATTGATTGCCACAACCTTCCTAGATCTAGGTATTATTATTAACTCAGGCTTCTTTCATTTGAAATAGAGCTTGGAAAACTGCTCCTAGACCTGTCACTCATTAGCTGTATGACTTTGGCAGGCATTTAAACTTTCTTGGTCACAATGTCCTTGTCTATAAACAAGGGGATTTTGTTAAAGTAAATGACTTCTTCTAACTTTAACAGACTCAGAGTCCAGGTAGTAATGAACTAGGATTAGGTGCTATTCAAGAAAGGAGTGCCTTGGATTTAAGTAGTGACCAAAGAATATTTAGCGTCCTTTATCTTCTCTAAAGAGTTTCTGTTTGCCCCCAAAGATAGGAGAGTCTACCTACTTACACTTTGCTTTGCTTTGTTTTCTTTTAAACTGGGTTTCAACCCCTCAGGGATGGAACGGAAGCTCGGGCATGACCAAATACACAAAGGTCATCTGGCCAAAAGAGCACACGCCTCATGCAAGCAGATTCCCATTTTTCCTTGCAAGGAAGGACCAACTGACTGTTCTCATATTTACATTCTCTCACTCTCTTGGGTGTGAGAACAAGGGAGTAGGGAGTAGGTCAGTTCTTAGTTGCCCTTTATTGTAAGTCAGATGGGACAAATAAGAATCTATAGGCTTCTAAACCTTGACCAGCTGCCTTTTGCCAGCCTACTGATACTGCCTTTCTGATTACAGAAGGGAGTGTATAACTGTGGGCACTCCAAGATACACACCATTACCATTGCTTTGAGTGGGGCTGGGTTTGAGCTACACCATTTGTAGTCCATGTATCCCTTTGACCGCCAGCCATGCATTTGTATGACAGCTGGTCAGAGTTAAGGGTACAGTCTCTGGCTGTGGAAAAGCTTTTATCTTTGAAATTAATTGGCACATATGGGG